TTTTTTTTTTTTTTTTTTTTTAGACTGTTCCTGTGTGACTCGGGAACAGATAAGAGCTATCTGTGGAAGTATAAGCTCAGGTCGCCTCCTGACCCTCTGCGACGGTCTATTTCAGGCAGTTATGGATAGATAACATTACAGACACTGGTAATTAAAACAACACTAATTTTGTCTCCGTGGCCACGCTTTGTTGTTAGAAGCCATCTATCATGGCCTTCACGCATCACACAATGAGAAGACATTTGTCCACGTACACTGTGCTTGGTCAACGGTTTTGCAGCTCCCCATGTACCTGGACACCGAGGCACTTAAAGACGTAGAGCTTTTCATTTTTTTACTCGCTTGCTCTGATTAATAAAACATTTTGCCTGCTTAGTCAAAACACGCAGCAATATTTTCACTCCATAGATTCATGGGGGAGAAAAACAATCGCTAATTCCTTTCCTTTTGGAAAGAAAATAACAAACAACAAAAGAGAAAGAAAGAAAGAAATTCTCTTTTGGATCGAAAGAAAAGAATCAAATATGGAAATATTTGCCTTCTCTGTAAAACAGAGAGCAGCCTAATGCAAAACATAATATTAAAGCACACACATAATACAAAGCAGCCCCTTTAAGACCATGTATGTTTTTAACTATGCGTATTGTTGACTCTTTCGAGTGTGTCCATTTGTTTGATTTATGGACACTCGATTTCACTTCACCTTCTGCTCCAAGAGCCACGGTTACATTAAGAGTGATAGCGAGTCAAATGTTTTTATATTTAGGTAATAAAAAAAGAAAAGATCCATTCCATAGGCCCTTCTAGGAAATTAGGGGTATCCTAAATACAAGATGACTAGTTTAGTTGTGTTGTAATAAACTAAAAGGAAACTGTAATGGTGCATTTCAAGGGATCTTTAACAAGTGACACAAACAAGAAAAGAAGCAGACAGGACCATTTAACTTCAAACTCCACCGAAGAGAGCTGAAATCGCAGGCTTCCCACCGTAAGCCCGCTAGCTGTTATGTGGCAATCTTCTTCATTTCTCAGTGGAAAAGCCACCCCCTTGAGACTCCCCAGACACCCCCAACTGCATTTTTTATCAAGTGTCTAAAAGGTGGGAGCTGTTAGAATTCTTTTCTCTATTCACAGATGATCACAGCCTTTTTCCCCCTTTAGCTGCAGACACACATGTAGTTTCAAATATTAGCTAGAACTCCAGCCCTTACCAGTCCCTAATTGCTCTCTCAGGGAAGGTATCATAAACGCAGGTATGGGTGACACGGATGTAACTTCAACTTTATGCAGGCAGGAGTGCTACATCAAAGCTATTTGCAAAGTGACATAACTAGTCATTAAAAAGTACATTTTTATTATATTCTTCGGAATTTGCATTCTTCCAGAAACCACGTGTGTTTTTTAATGTAGTCACAGAAATGTTGGGGTAATAGACCATTAATGGTATTTTGCAAAGGAAAGGCACCTAAATATTTTTAGAGCCCGCTTAATAAATTTGAGGGTTTCTTTCACTGCAAGTAGCTCGATCATTTCAATAAGTTAATATTAGCATGTCTCTTCTACCAGCCGCTGGGAACAGTCCAGCTGCTGTCATTAAGCAAAAAGGCCAAGACAATGTGAGTTTATCTGGTCCAACCTGCATTTCTACTCCTGATTCTAGTGAAACAAATGGGAAAGAAAAACTTACTGACTTTTGGCAAACTAAAAAGGTTAACTCTATTCATCATGGAGGAACCCATGCTAAGTGCTTTCTATCTGTCCATATATTTTAAAGATTTAGAAGCACCTGGTAGTGTTCTTAGGAGGAGGAAGGCAGGAGCTTTGGTCTCTGGCATGGATGCAGAGTAGCTCTGGTAGTTTCCTCTTTGTATCGGCTGGTACTTTGGAAATCCTTCTTCGACTATAGAATTTGGGAAACAAGGTTATTTTTCAATGAGATAAAAAGCCAAAGCGTTTCCTCCCTGAGACCTTTCCTGAATCTTTTAAGGTTGGTGGCAAGGTCTGAAGCTACTGTTAACCCTTGGAGGAGAAGTAGCTCCATCGTTTCAATGGGAGGAGAATGAAATTCTCACCACCCATATTGTAATAGAAGACTGCCTCTCCCAATGCCCATAAAGCCTACCCTGAGATTTCCAGAGACCATCGGAAGGTAATGAAAGGTAAATCCACAGGAAACACCAGGTGAAAACAACCAGGCGACCTGGTTCTTAAATCTTAAAGCAACAGCTCCAAAGTTTGAGAGCCCTGACTGCAATCCACAGCCCAGCCTGACAGGGGAAGGGGCCAGGAAGTTAAGAATCTGACAACTGCCAAAACAATCCCAGTATTTCCCAGCATCGTCGCCCAACGCACCGCGCCAAACAAATCTTTTCCCTTTCCATAACTCATTTGCATGAATTTACTTTTTTGCCTTAAGAGGTTGTTGTAATGTGTGTTAAAACACACAGTGCAATTTTATCTCAATAATATTACAAAAGAAATATTATGTTAGTATAAAGTTAAAAAAAAGAAGAAGAAAGAAAGAAAGAAAAAAGAGAATGCGGCGAGATCTGCAGCGCGGCTGGCGGCAAAGCGTTGCTCAAAAGCGCCACCCAAAGGTGGAAGCGGGTAAAGGCACTCGGGGAGTGATAGTTTTTTGTTAATTTCAGCAATCCGAATGTAAAAAATGACAGCGCCACGCAAGTTGACGGAGGCTTTTGATTGAATTGACTGATTGCCTCAGCTGCACCTGCGGAAAATTGATGGCAATGCTGTCTAAACCATTCATTAGGATTTGGAACTTTACGCAGATGAATGCTGGATTCATAAATTTGCTAGACATGTGTTGTAGATAATTTGACAAAGCACTGTTTTCAAATGAACATTTCTTTGACCTAATTTTATCAAAATCATGCAAAGGAATGAAAGAACATTT